GGTCCACTCAGGGGGGCGATGACGCACTTTTTCAACTTCAATGTCAGTGCAGCAACTCGTTTGGCCGTAGAGAAGATGCGGTGCACGACGCGTAGATGCTCCAGTCGACGAAGGGCAGCGCCAATATCGTCTGCACAAGCTCGGACCACTCCACGATCTCTCAGGCAAATGGATTTGTCAAAATTGGACATGAACGGGCCCGCTGACAGCGCGAACAGGCAGCCCGAGCTCGGGCAGCCTTGTATGATGGCACTGCACATCCATAAGAGAAGTGCGAGATCAGCGCCGACCGCACCAAAGCAGCAGACACCAGAGAAGAGAAATTCTGTGAACTTCACCAGCGGCATCGGCAGCAACATGCCATTGAGAACTTTCAGCACCCAGCTGTGAGCTAGACTGGGGAAGGCCTGACCAAAATCGCATCCCACTAAGAGAGGCATGGCTACGGAGACGTCTTCTTGCATAGAATATATTCTCCCGTATGTGTCCAATTCGATGATGTCATTGCCGAAGTTTCGAGTCGCGACGAAGCCACGTTGGATATGATTAACAACTCGATGTAATGATTGATTCAGTCGACAGAATGCCACCCCTGCTACTATCTGGTTGACCGTGTTTTTGAGGCCTAGCGGGCGAAGATCAGAAGGATGTCTGAGAACCCCAAGAGGGGTATGTTCGGGCTCTTCTCCTTTGGGTACGAATACGCCTAGAAGCATGTTGTATCCCAGGGGCATGGGGCCCCCTTCCAGCTGCCACCAAAGTACGTCATAACAGATTTGAATCCCAAGATCTGAGGCCTGCCAAGCACCATAAGGGAGAGCATCTGGACCTGGACCCGAATGTGTTCGTTTTTGTTGATGTAGCTTTGCACGTCGCGGTACATCGGGGGGGGAGGTCTCTGAGGTCGGAGGTGTTCTTGAAGCGGGAGAGGTAAACGTCGGCAGCCGTGTTTTCAATCTCTTTTGGAGCGAATACTGACCCCCAATGCTGAGAAATAGCCCGAGCAACACCAGAGGGGGAAGTCAATATTTCCGCGTCTGTCCTCAACCCCACGAGGCGAACAGATTTGTCGAAGGGCGCCCACAATCTACTGCGCTCCGCGAGTAGACGAAGCCGCTCGCGCACTTTAGCCTGCGAGGCCTGCAGGCCACTGCTTTGCAGCTGGTCTCGAGCACGACGCTGTTCCTCTTCAGCGTCAGCAAATTGAAGTGCATCCGAAGATTCAGCGAAAAGAGCGGGCCTGCACAGAGAGATGCGCTGAGTATCAGGATCGATCGATAGATGTTCGCGGGCAAGTCCGCATCGTGATAGTCGTTTCGCAAGCTGAAGATCCCGGCGCCAAACAGCACGAGCAGCAGATCGGAGAAGTAGCATCTCACTCGCAGGGTTCGTCGGGACACCTGAGAACATCGCATTCCTGGTAAATCGGGCAGCTTCTCGCACCGCCTCTTTGCACAGGCGCGGGCGGACAGGCGGCGGGCATAGAAAGAGATCCAGCCTCCCCCAGAACTCTTCCAAGAAACGCTGAAAATTAGGATGTTTGAATATCGACTTTGGGATGGGCTGGGGTCCTTTGGCTGCGGCGGCCGATGCTGCAGAGTGATCTGGAGAGGGGCATGATCAGAAATGCCCCTCTGCTCGAGCGTCTCGGGCAGGTCCCTCACCTTTGCCGAGACGTGCATCTGAGTGAGCAACCAACTAGGAGCGGCCAGAATCACCCTGTCTATCTTAGATGCATGCTGTAGATACCCATTGTAGTGTGTGAACTCATCCGAGGAGACCTCCAGGAGCTGCTGCAGGAGGGGGGGCCACGGGGACATTCTATGCGTTCGCCATTGGGCCAGGGGTCTATGGGCATCCAGGGTATCTGGGGGCACAGATGACCTAGGCGCTTCAGCCGCTAGATTGAAATCGCCTGCCAGGACGACGCAATATCTATCAGGACGACGACGTGCAATATATATATATATATATATATATATATATATATATGTGCTGCTGGATAACGCGCTTGACATGCGCGATCTGCCGTGCGTTAAGACCAAAGTTATGAATTTTGAAATGCATGGCGTACGTGTGCTCTGTGTCGTTCTGGCAGGTGCCTAAGTCGAGCTCAGTAAGCAGTACTCTCCCAGGAACGATAATCTCAGACACAACTCTAGCACCAGAACCAGCCCACGACGAAACCCTCGGGAAGAAGGTGACAACGCCTCCCCTTCTTCTCGTGTCCTCGAAGAAAGCGGCCCGAAACTCAAACTGGCTGTTGGACATGTGGAGAAAAGCCAAAACATCGTCTTCGCTGCCGTGCGACTCTTGAGTCGCAACAATGTTGAAACCTTTTAGGAGCTGGCGTAGGTACTGGAGCTTACTGGTCTTCGTAGCTGGGTCATGATGGAATAGCGCGCGAGCATTCCAAGTGGTGAATGCCAAACCAGGAGGACTCGGGGCTGTCGAACGAGACGGCAGCCTCACCAGCTTGAAAATTACGTTAAAGGCCCCACTCTTCCGCAGCGTCAGGGGCAACGAAGATCTGGTCCAGCGCGGCGGCCACCTGAGCCTTGACCAAGCCGGGGGCGTCGAGCGCCTTCTGGTCGAACTCAATGATGGGCATGTCATTCTGGCGCGGGGTGACCTTGATGAAAGCACGCCACTGAGAAGATACCTTTCCCGTGTTGCGGTCAGCGAAGAAGGTGCGGTCGGGGTAGAGTTACGAGAGCTTCTTTTTAATATTTTTGAGATCGAGTTCGCGGCGAATCTGAGCCAAGTTTTTGTCAGCTGATACGAACATGTCCACGTTCTGACGCTGGGCGGAGAAGGCGGTGAACCTGCGGAAACTGCCGTCAGGGCGCTTGATATTGCCGAGGGCCTGCGCGACCATGCGCGCCGCCCAGTCAGGGGCTCCTTTGACTTTGACTGTGAAACGTCGATCCGCTGGTTCTCCTTCGACTGACCAAGATCCCTCTTCGAAGTTAGATGCCGAAAGCCACTCTGCCAGTCCTTCACACACCGCTTCTTTGACCACCAGTGAGGCCGTGCGGACGACGAGGATGGTGGGGTCAGTCTTTCTGTGGAATGCAGCGCCCGGGGGTACCGATGGGGGCGTTTCAGTACGGACAGCATTGAGTAATCCTTTAAGCTCATTAATCTCGGCCTGCATGGTGTCCAACTTGTTATCGTGGGCGTCCAAGCGGCGTTCTGTGGCACTGATGCGGGTCTCGACAGTCTTCTCCACGCTCTCGCAGTGCTGCGTGAAGGTCTTGGTAAGCTGGGACATGCCAGTCTGCATTTGAGCGATCTGGGCGAGCACATTGGATTTGGTGACGTCAACATATGCTTTGAGGATCTGGAACTCAGAGGGGTCGTCGGGAGACGGTCCAAAGAATTCAGCATCATCGGGGTCACGCAGAGGTACCTCATCAACAGGGCCGCCAGCAGCAGGAGCAGCAGCCAGCGGTGCAGAAGAAGCAGACCTTTACCTTCCTTGCCACTTTTGGTGCCTTCCGTTCTGGGGGTTTGCGCCGGGCGTTCAGCAGCACGTGCTGGGCGACGAGAAGCGCAAGACCGATCAGCAGCGGTTCCAGAAGGACGAGAATGTGGCGTCTCAGGCATGGCTGCAACAGTGTATCTGAAACAAGCGTCGTGTCTGCGGGAGCAAAGAGGGCTGGCCAGCCGCAGAGGAAATGTAGAAGAGAGAAGTCCGCCTGCGCACGACACGCAGGAAAGCTCAAAGAGCAGAGCTGCCCGCTCGCATGGGACCTGATCCCATTTGAGCCAAAATGGCAACGGACCTCCTCCTCCTTTTCCTCCTCCTCCTCTTCCTCCTCCTCTTTCTCCTGCTCCTCCTCCTCTTCCTCCTCCTCCTCCTCTTCCTTCTGCTATTCCTCTTCCCTTTCCGTCCTCCTCTCTCCAATCCTCGTCCTCACCGTTCGCGTCGTCGTCGCCCTTCTTTTCCCTGTTCTCCACCCCGTCCCTCTCCCCGCCTGTCCTCCGCCTGTCCTCCTCCTCCTCCTCCTCCTCTTCCTCCTCCTCCTCTTTCTCCTGCTCCTCCTCCTCTTCCTCCTCATCCTCCTGCTCCTCCGCCTCCTCCTCGAGTACTTTTCTGGTGGCTCTTGCTTCACCCCCACCAATCCGGGATCGAAGGGGCTGCCGAATGGAAGAGGGAAAGACTCAAACAACCCTGTGCCACAACTCCACCTCCCCATGAAAAGCGCGAGTCGGAGGGACCAGGGCGAGGATATCTTGTATCCTTTGGGAGTCGGAAGGGCCAGGGCGAGGATATCTTACATCCTCTGGGTCACGGCAAGTCTCCCCATGGGCATAACAGCATCGTATCCTCCTGGGAGTGGCACGCGACCGCGGGTAGAGAAAAATCACCGTAATGGTAAGGGATGGGTGGGAGGGGTAGGATATCAAATACGGCGCGAGTGTGCTTAGCTTGTCCAGGACCCTTCTTCTTCGTGGCGGTCCCAGGCTCGGGGAAGAGGTCAAGGATCGCCACACACACACACACACACACACACACACACACCCGGACCGACCTGTCCTGGGGCGCGCATCGGCCCTCTGGAAAACTGAAGACTTCTGGAGTCGAATCGACCAACAAGGGGGGCGGGTCGAACCCGCGGGCCGAAACGGGAAAAGTTTAAGAACTGATATGTTCGAAAACTTTGGGGAAGTCAGCAATACTGCCTGTTGACCCCGAGATTACCAAAGACGGCCCGAAGATGGTCAAAGAGGCCTGAAGATGTCTTGGAGAGACCCGTGGTGGTGGCCCCCGAACTGTTTCGATGTAGCCACCATGTGGCTCGGCCCGGGGAGACGGTGGCGGACAGCGAATCGACAAGTAAGTTCCTGCTCCCCGCACAGGGATGTACGCGGATGGACTCGTCGATACACAGGCACTGCACGAAATGCGCGGCTCTATCCATGGCAGGTTCATGAGCGCGACAGTCGACGAGGCACCACAAAAGCAGGGAGGCGTCACGAAGGCAATGGCGCGCCTGTGACCCTGGCACAGGTGCAACACGTTGGGCGCCCCAAAAAGGCTGGGCAAAGGGTGCCTGTATACAGCGGCAAGATGACCATGATAAACTTGACGACAGAGAGGATGGACTTGCAAACCCCACTCGTTATCGTCCTGAGCACAGCAAAACGGATAAACGTCTGCAACTATCGACAAAACTAGGACAACACAGAAATTCTCGGGGAAATTCATCCAATGGCAGTGCGAGCTCCCCTTGGCGAGGAGTTTGTGAAAGGTCCCTGTGAAGCATGCTGTGGGGCCGAGAGACACGGCAGTGGCCAAGGAAGCTACACGAAGAGTTCGGATCTGCGCTTGGCTACGCTGGCTTGTTGGCGCACAAGCGTGCCCCAGCAAAACCCACGCACGGAAGGTTCGCGTCGTGTCGACCCTGGCGCTGGTACCTGATACCGCGGGGATCGTTCAACCTTGAACGATCGCCCGCTTCAGAAGCGCTGGATCGTTCAACGATGGGCCAATTCTGGGCAACGGTTGGCGTTCAACCTTACACGCCGGCGGCGTAGCAGCCGCAATAGCGACACCAGCCGTGGCGTCGCTCGCCCACCTGCCGAGCTCTGGCTCCCTGAGAGAGCCAGCGCGCGAGGTGCTGGAGAGGCAGCGGGCAGCCGGCCACCAGTCGCCCGAAGGAACGGGCCGCCTCGGCGCTAGCGCGTAGGCAACATTGCCCAGCAAGATTCCGCATCCATCGTCCCCCCATGGCCACTGCATGTAAATTGCATGGCATTAGCAGGGCGCAATGGCATGGCAATAGCATGGCAATAGCATGGCAATAGCATGGCAATATCATGGCAATAGCATGGCAATAGCATGGCAATAGCATGGCAATAGCACGGCAGTAGCACGGCAATAGCATTGCAATAAATAGCACGGCAAGAGGAACAAAAGTCAACACGAGCAACCTCGCGCACGAAGTCGCCCTGGCAGAGCCTGCCTCCGTATGGCAGACAGCCCGTCCACCGTCACCCTGTTTCCACAAAACACGACACCCGCTTATCTTAGGTCGGGCATGTCCTCCTACCGGCGGATTTTGGACGAAAAATCAAGATACTCAAAAAAGACTCCCAAATGGTCAAGGTCCCCAGAATGTTTGTTTACTATGTTTGAACATGCCTCCTGTAGAGGGACAGGCCCGACGTAACACTGATCCCCAGCCTCCTTGCCCCACCTCTCGCCCTTCCCCACACCCCACACACAAACATGATGGGACTGTTTTCCACCACCACCACCATAAGTTGGAGGGGGGAAGGAGGAGGACGAGGAGGAGGAAGAGGAGGATGATGAGGAGGAGGACCCCCTCCTCCTCCAACTTATGGTGGTGGTGGTGGAAAACAGGCCCATCAAAACACACACACACACACACACACACACACACACGCACACACACACACGAAGATCGTGCCGTGCCCTCCCCCACAGCGAGCAGCCAAGCCGCCAGGTGCAGCCGCCGGGCCACCCGAGGCAGTCGCCCGAGTGCCGCCGTGGCCCCGCTGAGCACCGACCTGACCACTCGGCCGCAGAACTGCCCCCTTCGGGGCCACAGAGAATCAGGAGGAGGAGGAGGAGGAGGAGGAGGAGGAAGAGGAGAGGGAGGAGGAGGAGGAGGAGGAGGAGGAGGAGGAGGAGGAGGAGGAGGCGGAGGGAGGCGGAGGAGGGGAGGAGGAGGAGGAGGAGGCGGAGGAGGCGGAGGAGGCGGAGGAGGCGAGAGGCGGCGGAGGCGGAGGAGGAGGAGGAGCACCTAAAGAGACTCGGTCGACCCTAACATTGACCAGACCCTTTGCCTGATCCCGACCCCGACAGCGTCTCGCTGGAGTGTCCTTGCCCGGGCCAAGGATGTGCCCCAGAAGGTTGTTCGATTCCCTGGTGGGGGGACCTGCAACTATCACGGGGAACAACAACAACAACAACAACAACAACAACAACAACAACAACAACCACCACAACCACAACCACAACCACAACCACAACCACAACCACAACCACAACAACAACAACAACAACCACAACAACAACAACAACAACAACAACAACAACAACAACAACAGCAACTGCAACAGCAACAGCAACAACAACAACAATCATTTTAAGACTGTTCGCCCTTATCTGCTCGAGTGTCGAATAACGCGAATTTCACAAACCCTCGACACCCGCCCTTTTCGTCTTCGATCGAACCCCTTTGGGGGATATACCTTTTTTCCCTGCAGGCCGGGCCCCGGCAAGCGGCGGGGCGGCCGCGGACCGTCGGCCTGGCCAGCGGCAGCGCTGATCGGCGGAGCGGCCGCGGACCGTCGACCCGACCCCAAGAGGGACGGACAGGGGACCGACCACGACGACGACGACGACGACGACGACGACGACGTCGACGTCGACGACGACGGCGACGACGGCGACGGCGACGACGACGACGAGCGAAAGCGAGAGCGAGGGAGAACGACAGCAGAGCCACGAAGGACACGAAGTAGGCCACGAAGGGCGACAGCGGTGACACGAAGGGAACGCGTATGGGGCCACGAAGAGCGCGAACGAGCGTGGGCCACTAAGGGCAGATAGTGCGGGGCCACAGAAGGCAACGATGGGGCCACTGAGGGTAGCACCTGGGCCACGTAGGACAATGAGGGGGCCACAAACGGCGACAGCGGGGCCACGAAGGGCATGCACATGGGGCCACAACGGGCGCGAACGAGCGGGGGCCACGAAGGGCATACGTATGTTGGGCCGCGGAGGGTACGGACGGGGCCACTGAGGGCAGCAACGGGGACACGAAGGGCAGCGAGGGGGCCACGAAGGGCGACAGCGGGGCCACGAAGGGCATGCATATGGGGCCACCACGGGCGCGAACGAGCGGGGGCCACCAAGGGCATACATATATGGGGCCACGAAACAAAGCGAGGGGGCCACGAAGGACTGCAACGGGGCCACGAAGGGCAGCGAGGGGGACACGAAGGGCTGCAACGGGGCCACGAAACAAAGCGAGGGGGCCACGAAGGACTGCAACGGGGCCACGAAGGGCAACGAGGAGGCCACGAGGGGCTGCAACGGGGCCACGAAACAAAGCGAGGGGGCCACGAAGGGCTGCAATGGGGCCACGAAACAAAGCGAGGGGGCCACGAAGGGCTGCAACGGGGCCGCGAAGGGCAGCGAGGGCCGAAGGACTGCGCAGAGGGGTCGCGCAGTTCCAAGACGCGCTGGCGCTGGCCCTGCCAGGCGGGCGCGCTCAGCTGCAACGAGAGGCGGACAACGGCCATTTCGTCTTGGACGGTGCAAGCTGTCCGGCGCGAATCGGCGCCCTCGGCCCCTGCCGGCAGCGCCGACCGCCCCTGGCGAGGGTCGACTCGCGCCAGCGCCGCCCCCCCCTGCAGCGAGCGCCGCCTCCCGGGCGCCGCGCGCCTCGGCCGCGCGCTGCACGAGGTCCTGGGCGCGCAGAGCTGCGGCCGCTGACAGCGACGCTTCGAACGCCGACAGCGCGCCCGCGGCGCCCGCGCTGCATGCGGCGAGCGCGCCCTCGGACCCAACCCCGACCTCGCGGACGCCTTCCGCAAGCAGGTCCACCAGACAGCGCGATTCGACCCGGGATGCCACGAAGGCCGGGAGCACCACGGCCGCGGCGAGCCGCATGCTGATACTGCCCTCCGGGACGTCGACGGCACACTGGGCCGCGGACGCGCCGCCCGGCTCCCCGCCGAGGCACCGCGCCAGCGACCGCCGCAACATGGAGTCGCACTCGCACAGCGAGGCCGGGTCGATGGAGGGGCCCGAGGCCCGCAGTAGGTGAACCACCTTACAAACGTCTGCGCACTTGCGGAGCGAGATCAGAGACTTGCGGGGATCAGAGATAACCTCGGCAACTCGGCGAAACTGGGCAGCCGGGGTGCGCGGCTCGCCGAAGTAGACCCCAAACACGCGCCCCCTGCGCGATGGGTCGCGCGCGGCGCTGGCCAGCACGCAATCGATGCACGCCGTTTCGGCAGCACGCGGCCCGACGATGCGCACGACGCTCTTCGCCTCGCCCCCCCTGGCCCCCTCCGCCCCCACACTGGCGCCAAATGCGTCGACGGCCCAGAACGCGGCGTCGACGCGCCCCGGCCGGCACGCGATCTGCTCGTCGCCAAACGCACCTGAGTGAACGAACTCGACCCCTGCAGACCTCAGCTTGTCCCACGCGGCGGCCGCAACGCGCGCCAGGACGAAAGCGCAACAGATGCGCCGCAGAGCGTCGCTCGCGGACCACGCGGGGCACGCCGCCAGACGGCGGGAAAACCCGCCCCGGCGCGGCATGGCGCCACCGGCTACGCGCCGCAGCTTGCAGCAGCTCTCCGGACGCTGCCCCACTCGATGGACGGGAAGGCGTTCTTCCAACCCACGTCGACCACCGCCATGGCGCCCGCGCCTGCTTGGAGGCCCCGCTCACGCAGGGCGCGGAAGTTCACTCTGCCCTCTGCCCCGCCCAGCACGGCGACCCCGAACTGCCGCGCAGCAAGGCGGATCCATGGACAATAGAGCGGCCGGCCTCTACGACCCGCCACGCAGTCAATCGGCGCCACAGCTGCCCAACGCGACTCGGGCGCGGCGCCGTGAAAAATTTAGCGCAGCGCCGATCCTTGACTGCCACGAATTCCCGCGGGCGCTGGTGCCCAGAGCATACATCGCTCGGAGCCGCGCGCCTTCGGGCGCGGGAGCCAGCCCCCCCGTGGCCTCATCAGCAGGCGGGGCGGCCGGAGGCGCTACGGCGGCGGCAGGGCGGGCGCTGCACGGCAGGAGCGCCGCTCCCAGTGCTGCCTGGGCCTCGCCATCGAAGCCCGCCACGCCCCCGCGCAAGGAGCTGGCCGCCGCGCTGCGGGCGCCCTGGCCGACGAGAGAGCGTGCCCCGCGCGCTCGGGCCCGAGGCGTCGGCGGCATCGCAAAGCTCCTCTGCGCCGGGGGCTCGAACGGCACCGCTCTTCAGCCCGCTCCAGCGAAAGGAAGAAACGCCCACCAGCCCAGAGATGCAGTCGCCTCGCGAGCTCGACGCGCACGTGGACTCTG